CCTCTTCCTCCTCGGGTTGGTAGTGGTTGTAATAGTGGGAGCAGGCACAGCCGGTCCCCCAGCAGCAACAGCAGCTCCCACCTCTCCTCCTTCTCCTCCTTCTGCGTCTCCAGCACCCGAACCAGTACTAGGTTCAGGTGCCTGTGTAATATTCCCACCGGCACCAAACTCAACCATATTAAGCGCACAGTCCTTGCACGCGACCAAATGCCTGCATGGGAGGAGTACGACTTCACGTGCGGCGGAGAGGCAGAGCAAGCACTCGGATTGAGGGTCGTCTTCGTCCCCGGGGGCCACTGCGGCTTCCTGTGTATCCAGGGCGTTAGGGTCGGGTGGGTAGGTGTGTGAGTTGGTTACTGCGGGGAGTGCGGAGGTGGGTGCGTAGTTATTGGTAGTTGAGGAAGTGAGTCCGTAAATCTCGTGGAGATGGAAGGTATGGGGGCCGATCTAGAAATACTGTGTAAGTCCAGAGTGCGGGGTGGGAAGGATAATAAATTTACAGTAGCCTCGCGCTTGACGACCTTAACAACCCAGGGCCTCGTATCCTCCTCATCCTCAGCACCACCCTCTGGACGGGGACCGTACCTCACAACATGCAAATACGTAACCTGTTCATTCGGACTCGCCAACTCTGACCCCTGTTCGTCCAGCGCCGCCAGCCGAATGGTCACCCTCACTCCCTCCTCAGCCTCATCTTTCGCCGCGTCCTTCTTATCCTGCTGCTGCTGCTGTTGCGGCTCCGCATCGACGACCGTCAGCGCCGGTCCACTAACGCTCCTGTTCTGCGACCGCTTCCTGAAATGGAAGTGCGTGAACCTGCGGCGATTGTGCTGGTGCTGGTTCCGACCAGCCTGTGACGCCAACCCACCGTCAGCAGACGCGCTAGGGGACGCCTCCTCGGGGATTGCAGGGGGCAGGGGCGAGGTGCTCCCACTCGCGCGCTCAGACGCCTTGCGCCCGAGGACGTGCTCCCATCTACCCAGCTCCAGCAGCGCGCCTTCTTCCAGTTTGAGCATCTTGCCGAATCCACCGTCTGTGACTGTCTCAAAGACCAGGAGCTTCGCCATCGGGTAGTTGGTCGAGGGCGCATCGGGGTGATCCCGCGAGAGGAAGACGTAGACATAGATACCGCATTTGGGAGCGTCGCAGTCGTATTCGAATTCGAGCCCGTGGTGATGCTGGTCCGAGGAGGAGGGGTCTTCGGGGACGGAGGTGAGTGGGGAGAGACGCAGAGAAGGACGTTTAAGGTTGACGAGGGCTTGGAGGGTTGTGGTCGGGTGGGAGGGCTGTGGGGTATTGTTAGATTGGGCTAATTATAGAATGAAAGTGGAGTGAAATAGAGGCATAGGGAATGGGGTTTGAAGTAGGGTATTTCCAGTTCGCAGGTGGACATTGGGACGGTGTTAGCATTGGTCGCTCGACTAAAAAATCGACGATATGACCAAGCCGAGGTATAGCCATGAAATGACACGTTTCACGGTGAATACAATGTCCCATCCACAATGCCAATTTAACACCCGGCCATCAAATCATGCTCAAGCACAACTGAACGTCCAGCCTCGCTAACTTCGATACAACTCTGCGATTTGCTCAGACGATGACCGAATCGTTGTCCTCGACAAATCCGAGTCAGGTTGAGGATCGAAGATGAGCACAAGTAGGCGATGTGATTCCACGCTAATTAAAGAACGGAGACGGAGTGCGATAGCGGCATGGGTAGCCGGGTCTTTGAATCCCCTCGGGTGGCGTGTGTCATGACGAAACTGGTCAATAAAGCGCAGTATCGTGGCAAGGCAATGGCACGAAGATATCGAGTAACCCAACGCGGGGGCAACCAATACCCATCGCGAACTGGCAGGTGACATGGTGATATCAACGTTGTAACCGTGCACTATCACAGCCTGCACCAATCCAACAATCAAACGTGCAAAATTGTCGGCGTACTGCATTCCCAGTTGAGTTGAATCATTGTCCTCGCCAAATGGCCGTCGACGATGGAAGTGCACATGCCAGCGAACATTAAGGTTGTACTCACCTCCTTGCTCTTCTCGACCCAGCCGCTCACGATCTCAGGAGTCAAATCATCGGACATCATCTTCTTCTCACTAGTAATGGTCCAGGGCGGGCCCATCGTCACAGCGCCGATGTTGGGACCAAAGAGCGGGTCCTGGGTCTTCTTTTGGTTGCCATTGGCGTTGTTGTTAGCGGCGGCATCAGCTTCGTTGCTGGCAGCCATGTTGGCGACGATGGTGGTTTGGCCATTCTGCGCCATGGCTGTTGCTGCTCGTGAGGCGTTGGTGTCTGTGCGAGCGAGATAGGGCGCCTGTTGTATACGGCGGGTGCGGTTCCACGAGGAGTATTGCTGGTGGTCTAGATGATAAGAGTTAAGATGGAATAGAATAAATGTAAGAGTAAGATTTTGTGCTTACACCAGGAGGCAAGGCTCATCGCAGAGGCAGCAGAGGACGCCGTGGTTGCTTAAGAGCGAGTTTGTAAGTGGGAAGTGAATTAAGTGGAGGCTGAGTGTAAGCGGTGGGAACACCGCGGCTGCTTCGGGATCTAATTCACTTGCCTTTTCCGGTCCATCAACTGCGCCAACTGCAAATTTAGCATAAATCCGGCCTCCCCGATCACCCAATCCATCCCACGATCGCATGACGTCGACCTAAATATATATACACTCTCTGGAACGGGTAGGACCACTCTAACCCAGTGTCTTGAATGGGTTCGAGTCTGGTTCAAACAGACGTCTTCTGCATATTAATAGTTTCACCTAGTCGAGTGAAAGGCAGGTCAAGACCCCTCCTCTATCGAACCATTATAATTCCTATTAACAATTTCTAATTAACAATTTCTATTTCAGTAGGATATTTAAACGCCGCTTTGCGCATTTAAAGGTTGAACGAAACCTTTAATTAAACAGTACCATGTATGCAGTGATATTCTGCAGTTTTAAGGTGGTCTTTCCGTTCTTTACATTTTCTCTATAATAAAAAAAACATATGAAATGCATAACGACTTGAATCAAATTTGAATAACCGTTTCCTGCATGCATGCGCATAACTATGTAGTACAGGTGTACGATTTGCAAATTCCCACCCATGCACCTTCGAGGTCCAACTAAAGCTTTTGTTTGAGCCTGTAGCTTATCTTCGTAGGTCCCTCCTCAATATCTGTCAGTGGCCTGGGTTATAACAGGTTGTAAATAAATAAAAAGTTGAGCTGAATTTACATATCAGCTCACTGATATAAGATACAGAAAACAATATTTAGCGAACGGAATTTTCTACAGGCTTTTGATTTGATTCAACAGACGTCTGCTGTATGTAAACTACTTTTATAGATGGCCCATATAACTTGCAGTCGAAAACCTCTCAGCTATTGAGCCCTTGTAAGGTAAGAACCCGTAACCGCCTTTCTTTCCTGTGATGCAGAGAAATTTCAATAAGATGGACAAGTGGAAAGGATACAAAGTCATTTAGGGTCGAATATCAAATTGTAGCCACGAAGTTACTAAAGAGAGGTAAAAGAAAGGCGCTCGGAATCTGAGGATGACATTGTGTAAGCATGGCATACTTACGACGAGCCATCTGTTTATATACTGTCCGACGTTAAGAAACATATCGTTTCTTAATAGCTTCTTTTGCTTAACGGCTAAAGTGTACCAGCTGCGTTCGGACAGGCAGCAGGCTTTCACATTGGCTAGGCCTGAATTAAATATATGACTCGTGTTTTGATGCCACAAGTCAATGCTTCCAATTGATGAAACGGAGGTGTGGATCCCTCCGCTATCAAGCCGTTATAAGCGATTACCACGCCTTCCTTTTTAAAATCCAATATTTGGAAGTGATCATGCCCATGGAAGGACTCAGCTCATCATAACATTATTCAAGACCTCCATTTCCCCTGACGTACGGGACATACTAACACGATAATGGTGTATTCAGGCGATGCTGAGCCCATAGATTCCATTTATCCTTTCCCCATTGGATAAAACCCCCCAATATTAAGCGTGAGGTTGATAACAATAGATATAGGTAGCAAAGAGGTGATCATAAACTTTAGATCTCACTTCAGGGACATCTTTGAAGGTCCTGTGCAGTCAAGAACGGCTTCGAATATGACCTCCACCATCATCCTAGTATATAGATCAAGTCAGAAGTACGGCATGACATTTGAATGTGCTCGCCAAAACGCGGGGACAAGAGGAGACGCTATGAGGGGAAATTGATTTATTATTGATGGCGTGCCTTGTGTACCATGGACGAACTATTTCGGAGGCACGCAGAATTTAGTCTCTAGATTTCCAAAGGATGTGCAAAATCTATTAATAGACTCAAAGCAATGGTTATCTTTGGTAGAGGATGACCCGAGCAGATTTGCTTGAACTTCAGCTTGAGCATTCATTATGATGCGAGATTATAGTCGATCACCGAGCATTATTATGTACACTTGACAAGTATTATTGCTCGTATAGATGGATGACCTAGTAGCACGGTGTTGGTGCATCTACAACATGATATAAAAGGTGCTTGTTCAAATCAAGGTCAGATATTTATTGTTCAGTTTTATCACAATAAAAAAGGTTTCAAGACCTTACATATCAAGAATCCGTTGAAATACATGTTCCTATACCAGAACTAAAAGTGAAAGCGCGGGATGTGGTGTTTCTGATGGGATCTCAATGCATCAAGAATCGTCTCAGTATGAAGATAGAATGGCCTGGTAGCACCATGGTTAGTGCATCTATGTGGTATCCTCCAGAAGATAGATCATATCAGAGACGCCCTTATTCGAATCAGGGTTACACCTGTTCACACGAGTCCATTTATTCGCCGACTTTTCGCCGCAAAGACCACCTGTCTTCTACACTGTGGTAGATTAGCATGTAAAAGATTTCTGGATCTATGAACTAGCTGAGTCGAGAATATAGGGCTTGATATGATCTGAATGTCTTGACCTGAGTATCCTTTGATTCGTTTAATTATAAAAGTAAATAAGGCCTGATAGCACAATGGGTAGTGCATCTGCGCGATATTACAAGTTTATACGCACTGCGTAGTCACTATATAAGCAGAAATGTCCTTGTTCGATTCAAGGTCAGGCCAATAAATGAGTAGTTTACGTATCTTTGATCTGCCGTTAAACATGGTGTTCTGCTCCATTCATCAATTAAAGCAGGAATCTTGATTTTTGCATAGTTTGAAAACGCTGAATATCGTTGTGGACGAGATATAGATATGGCTTGGCAACACGATTGGTGGTGCATCTGCGCAACAAACACATTCATAAGCTTATTATGTACACCCCAGCAGACAAGGCCTTGCTCGAGTTAAGGTCAGGCTAACGAGGCTCCAACAACAATTGCGAGCATTTATTTACTTTCTCCACAACAAATGTCGCCTTATAATCAGCGCATTAATCAGAAAATTGCGGCAGTTAGAATCTCCATAAACGACAGACGATACAGAATATCGATTTAACTTGATAGCGTCGAATAGCATTGCAGAATAGAAATAGATATGGCCAGGTAGCACAATGGGTAATGCATCTACAATTCAAAATTATCCTTAATAGAGATATCCTTGTTCCAATCAAGGTCCAGCGCGTGTGTTGGTGGGTTAATCTTTTTTCTTTTCTTCTTTTTCGTCGCAAGTAACACTATCCTCTGAAACAGCTATTCCTAGAGCTAAGAACTAGAGGCTAGGCGATAATCCTGGGGTTTCAGAAATTGAACAGGTCAAGGATTGTTCCGGTAGAAGTAAGTGTGGTCCGGTAGCACCCCGATTGGTGCATCTGCGTGAATTAAAAACAGGGGACTTGAAATATAGCAAATTGAGACTGGTCCTTGTTCGAATCAAGGTCAGGCCATGACATGTTGGCAGAGAAATTGCTTTTTGCGATGTGACAATGCCATAAACTCCGTCCTTCAATTTAAAGTCGTATCTTGTGAAGTTGAATGGGATTTATAGGTAGCAATAGGGCGAAGGCACCATATTTCTTGAAAAAAAATCGAGTATTGAAGTTCGAGCACGTTGAGTATAGAAGTGAACAAGGTCTGGGAGCAGGGCGGTTATGCATCTGCATGAGTTGAGTGGATCCTATCAAGGTTGCATTATCGTACACTGGTTGAGAATCCTTCTTCGAATCAAGGCAGGGCCATCGTACTAAAGAACCGAACTCTGTTGGATTCCCGAGTATTGAAGCCATCGTTCCATTTCATATTTTCTCATTCAGAGGGTGTAGTTTAGCGTGCTGAGATTCGCCCAAGGGGCTAGGTAGTGGGTCGCAATGATCATCCGTAGCAAATGTAATGTATCGGGTAACCGTCCATCCTTCAACGCTCCTCCTCTGCCTTCGGATCCGGGAGAACGAGCGGGATCTCCAGTGGCATGCGCTAGTTCGGGAACTTGCTGCGATTCATGCCTTCCGCGTACGAACTAACTCGCAACTAAATGCAAACTAGGTAGTCTTCCCAGCGCACGAGTCCACGGAGCTCCCAAGATGCCCGCTTCTTCCGGTGGCGACAAGAAGGCAAAAGTGTATTAGAAAGGAAACGTAGCACCTTAGGGTGTTGCAGTTGTAAATCGTTAACACGTTTCGAGGAAGCTTACGGAAGTGAGTCATTGATGTAGAAGAAGAGTTAAGGGTGGGGGTAGATGCTGTTATGGGAGGAGCCCGAGGGTTAGACCATGAGGAAGAAGCAGTGAATGAAAGAAATTCGACGCCGAGAGCGAGGAAGAGGCCACGAATATGCATGTTGAAGATACCGATAATGGGAAAGAAGAAACGTTGTGTGGATGAAGTGGGGATATCGAGGAAATAGGGGGTTCAAGAAGACCGAGCGTCGGTGTAGTTATGAACATTCACCGCGCCGACAGAAGCACGATGACTGGGATGAGGCATAGCGGTGTCCGGGGCTGTATGGGCCTGGGGGGTCGTTGTGGAATGCCTCCTGTCCATCGATAATTAAATAACATAACACATCCGTGCCTATCACTACTGTCGCTGGATGTACCTCACCGGTGAGCCGCGGCTGTGCGCATCGAGCTTCTTGTTCTAAGAATCCCTGGCGCGCGTTGGGACGACTGAAGCGAAGGAAGCTCGTTCATTTACGAGCTCATGCAGAGCGGAGTGGGCTCCTGCACGATCTTGACTGCATCATATCGAAAAACGGCATGGCAAGCTCGACGTCAACGGTGGTGCGTGCTGTCGTTGTGGAGGAGCGGGTGACGGCGCGCGAGCGGATGTCGGGTCACAAGGCCGGCCGGATCAGGGATAGTTTTTTTTTTTTTGTTGAATTGGAAGCCAAGCGGAAATACATTTTAAATGGATAGGCTGCGAGAGTCTATTGAAGACAGTGAGGACACTCGAGAAAAAGGACTCTGACGACTCTTTGTCGTCGCTGTCCCAGCGAGGAAAAAACACACAGTACATGGGATTGCACCCGAGAGGACCCTGTGTGACGTCGTGAAGGGAGTCGGAGCCTGGATTGAGCTAACAGCCTCGATCGACAGCCTGATCAATCCTTTCCTATTTTGGAGCAAGCCAGGGACCGCATTCCTTGACGTCAACAACTTAAAAACTCTCAACACAAGAGTCGAATGGCCCCCACGTTCTTCCTCTCTCCGCCATGTAAGTCCCTTTTTGCTGTTGCTGACAACGAGCTGACATCCCCTCGCAGGTCTGGTATATCCGACGCAAAGTCGGCGTCCAAAGAGACGTTCATCACCGCTCTCGTTTTCAATGCTGCCGTTTTTGGCATCGAAATCGTTCTATTTACAGTCTTGAGACCCTACTTCAAGGCTATCTATGAGCCCCGCACTTATGTCCTTCCCACTTCGTGCGTCCCCTATATTCTACTTTTGTCAGTTCTAACCACCCTTCGAACATGCAGAAAACGCGCCAAACCCCTCTCCCAATCCATATTCTTATGGCCTTTCAATGTCTTCCGCGCAGACTACCGCGGTATCATCAAAGCCAATGGGATGGACGCCTATTTCTTCGTACACTTCCTCCGCATGATGGTCAGAATCTTCATCCCTATCTGGGTCCTCACCTGGGCCATCCTCCTCCCCGCTACCTCTGTCGGCACGCACGTCGAGGGCAAGGACAGTCTTGACCAATTTACCTACGGAAATGTCGAGCCATCTATGGGAAAGCGCTACTGGGCCCATTTAATACTAGTGTTCATGTCCACCTGTGAGTATCCTACCTCACTTCATCCCCACGCTTCTTTTTTCCTCGAGGCTCGATTTACCCCTATTCGGTTCAGTCTTATCTTCTCCCTTCTTCTTTTGTACTATCTTGCATTCCGTAACGGCACCAACTAACGCGCTTCCATTCAAGTCTGGATTTTTTACAACATCAAGCGCGAAATGAGCCACTTTATCATCATGCGCCAGCAGCATCTAATCGAGCACGACCATGCCAAATCAGTACAAGCCAACACGGTTCTCATTACTGGTATTCCTGCTCGGTACCTCACCCAGGACATGCTCTTCAAGACCTTTAGCCACCTTCCTGGCGGCATTAAGAAGATCTGGATTAATAGGTGTGTTACTATTCTATTAATAGTAAAATTGAACGAAATTATTGACAGCTTAATATAGGAACTTGAAAGAGCTCCCCGACCTGTACGACCGTCGCCTAGCCGCCTGCTCCAAGCTCGAGTCTGCCGAAACCGCTCTCCTCCGCACCGCCGCGAAACTGCGTCTCAAATCCGAAAAAGCCGCTGGCAAAGAAGCTGGAAAATCCTCCAAGGACAAAGATGCCCTTCCCATCACCAATGCAGGCACCAAGCAGCAAGACCTAGAACGCGCCGACGCTGAATCCCTCGTCCCACGAGACCAGCGTCCCACCCATCGCCTTGGCTCTATCCCCTTTATGGGCCAGAAAGTCGATACCATCGAGTGGTGCCGTACCGAAATTGCGGAATGTACACAACTGCTTGAGGAAGGGCGCGCGAAGATTTCGAGTGCTGATGAGCGCGGTTCTGCTGCCCCCGTACTGGACGACCCCTTGCAGGCAGAGACTGGCATCGATGAGGATGCACGCACGAGGGATAGGCTCACCCGTGAAGTTGGGGGCATGGCGAAAGATGTCGTAGGTGCTGTGGGGGGTGCTGGTAAAGCTGTCAAGGGCCGTGTCGGTGGATTGGTTAGTAGTGGAGAGAAGGGCGTGTACCCCCCGCTTAGCAGCGCGTTTGTCACCTTCAATAGGCAGATTGCGGCTCATATGGCTTCGCAAGTTTTGACGCATCATGAACCGTATAGGATGAGTATGTATTTCTTTCTTTATTTTTATATTTTTAGGTCTCTGATAATAACTTCTGATAGGCAAAAAATACGTCGAAGTAGCACCAGAGGACGTTATCTGGGCCAACCTCGGCTTGAACCCTTACGAGCAGAAGATTCGGTTGGCCATTTCGTACGCTGCTACTGCTGGGCTTATTCTTCTTTGGGCTTTCCCTGGTGTGTTCTCCCCCATCCGTCCTGGAAGAAAGCAAAGTTGCTGATATACTTCTTTCTTTTTAGTCGCATTCGTCGGTGCCGTGTCAAACGTTGCCAGCCTCTGCACTACCTACAAATGGCTTGCATGGATCTGTAATCTCCCCAAACCCGTTGTTGGAATTATTTCTGTACGTGCTTTCCGCTCCTCATTCTAAATTACACATTACTAAAACGCACCGCTTTCAAACAGGGTATCCTTCCTCCTGTCGCCCTCGCCGTCCTCATGATGCTCCTTCCCATCGTCCTCCGCCTCCTCGCACGTTTCGAAGGTATCCCCAAGCGGACGGGCCTAGAGCTCAGTTTGATGACCCGCTTCTTCCTCTTCCAGGTCTTGGTACGTACTGGTCTATTTGTATCTTTTTTGCTTCTTTATTTTTGTGCCTTGCTTCCATCGTCATTGCTACCCAGGCATACTTGTTACGCGTCTTTCTTTGTTATCCATCTTTTCTCGTGTTATCCTTCGTTTCCGTTACCCCTTTCGCTTCCCGTTCTCTATAGTGAATCGAGCTGATTCGACTCGGTATATATAGCATTCCTTCCTCATCGTCACCCTCTCCGCGGGTATCATCGCCTCTCTCGATGACCTCATCAATAGC